GCCCCGCCGCCCGCGAAGGCTCTAGCGTCCCGGAGAGGCGGCCGGAATGCGTTCTGCCGGCTGGGTCGGGCCTTCTGCGGCGCGACGGAGCCGGGGAGAAGGGACATCGACCGTGACAAGGCCTTAGCGGCTTCCGTGGAGGGGATTTTCCCGCGCCAGCGTTTTTTCTCTTCCCTTCAAAAATCAGATTAAAAAGAGCGAATACCTCGCAGGCATTCGGCGGCGCTGGGTGGATGTGCGACGGTTGCAGCAGCCCCTCAGAAAGTGGGTGTTTTCATAAAGAACGAGGCCGGCTGTTCTTTACCCGGCGGCGTAGCAGCTGAAAACTTCATTATTGCCGGCGGGTCCTAAAACCTAGGCATAAATCTCCCCAGGCCGCTTGGAGAACGCTACATCACTGCTTATGAAAAATGGGATGTGGGCTACTCGCTGCACATTTCTCTGATTCTCCAGGTCTTGGGCTGCTGACACGCATTCGATCAACTTTAAAGGAATGCGCATAAATCAGGGAGCCCCTAGCGTCTCTCGCGTAGAGGTCCGCAAATCCGGAAGGGCTGCCTCTGAACCCACCAGGTCTGGGCTTTAGCAGTCCGGGACAGCGTTCGTCTCCGCTTCGAAACTCGGGAATTCGTAGAGAGGGAGCGAGATGCCGCATCTTCACCGAACCCTCCAGACACGCGCAGCAGGGTGTGATCTGCACGCACATTATAAGGTGAAATCTGTGTCATTAACTACCCGCACACATACGTATCACCCCAGCTGAATTTCACTGCCTCGTGAATTTTTAAGAAAACACTTCAATTAGGTTGAGTTTTTTTAAAAAAGAATACTTTTTCTTCTCCCTTCTTTAAAAATTATTGCTTCTTTTTTTTTTTTTAAACAATTTAAACGGATGGCTTCAGTTCTGCATCAGGTATAAATAGTAGTTAAATGCAAAGTGACATTTTACAATCATCTACTTCAAATGCCTTAATAAATTTGACAGAATTAAGAGCATATGGGAAAAGTGGGTGTTGTTTTTTTTTTTTAAGTCCTACGTTTACAATTTTTCAAATGGTAGGCCATTACAGGATTAAAAATCTTTGCAAATTTAATAGATGAAAATGGTGTCTAGCTGTTTCCATATTTACAATGTGTTGTTCAGAAAAGGTTTCCCTTTTAGGAAAAAAATAAATTTTGAATCAGCTATTCCACAACACTATCCTGGTGTCCCATGTCATTATTCTTATGTAGAATCCTCCTGGATGTCTTCTTTTCTAAAGGTTTAGGCTAATTGCTATTCGGGCATTAGGGAGCCACCATAATCCATGTTTGCTTCAGGTTATCGGGTACATCCATGGGAATTTTAAAGAAGAGGGGAGTTAGGTAAGACGGACATTATTAACAACCCTTTTAGAACAGGGAAAGACAAAAACACAAACCCTGACATATCTTCTGTCATTAGTTTCAAAAACCGAAGAGAGAGGAAAAAAAAGAAAACTACTACTTTACCCAGAGTTCCTGCGATGGATTGTGGAAGGGGCGGTATTCCGTCTGCGGAGCTGCTGTTGGCCTCCTTCCTAGGCCTGAGGCTCAGAATATTTCTTACATCTAAAGAAAAATATCCCCCGTCAACAAAAGAGTCCCCTTTGGAGCTGTTCCGCAAACACACAGTATGATCCAGTTTTCAGGGGGATTTTCCACCACTTTAAACATTTGGGCTCGATGGAAGCTCATTTAGAAAGGGAGTGAGTGCTGGGGCACACGATGTGGGGAACTTGATCTGAAGAATTACTTTCTTTTGTTTCCACAAGTGGAGTGAAAATCCACTTTCAGGACAGCAAAACTGGATTGCACTTCACAATCCCATTCCATATGTACGTTTGCAAGACCATGCTGATTCTGAGACAGCTTTAGAGATTCTATAATTCTCCACCTATAAAGAAGCTCTAAGTCTTCAGGTTGGGGAGGTTTCCGTCAGCCAGGTTTCTAACCAACCAATATTTTTTCCCATAAAATGCTAAATACAGTTTTTTGACTCACAATTACTTTCCTCTGACATAAAGATAAAATTAACCTCATCTCAAAATGTCTGCATCCTAAGGCTCCTGGTTCCACCAACACACACATACATATATATCTCTATATATGTATATATAGAGATACATATATATAGACTATATATATAGATATATCTATATGTATCTATATAGACATATAGCGTGAATTTAACAAAACACATCACCCTCTGTGTATATTAACTATGAAACATACATATGTATTATTCATGACTCTAAACGCAGCACCTGATGTGTTGTTGTTGGGGGCCAGTAAGTAGTAGATACAGTATTTACTATAGTTTTGATGGTGATTGTTAATATTAAATGTATCTATTTCTTCCACAAATCAAACAGCAGCTTCACAAGCTCCGGTATAAGATTGCACACACCACCCAGGAGCAGCACCCAGCTCTGAGCTATCCGGGATAACTCTCCTGCATCCATATTACGGTCATGTTGTAGATATGAGATCTTTAAGCTCTCCATACTGACCTCTTAAGAGGTGAGTTTCTTTGAATTTCTGAAATGTAACTCTAGAACTCTAGAGTTAGTAAGGCATCTGAAACGTTTTATTTGCCGTATAGTATAGACTCCCCTATAGCTCTAATTAGGATGGTAGACCACCTTGGAGGGTGAGGGCCAGGAAAGAATGGTTATTTAAGAACAACTTTTAGACTGTAACAAAAATGTACAGCTTTAAAGCAGATCTGCAGAAATCTGATGCAGAGCAAGCATTGTGAAGACAAATCATACTTGGCCATTAAAGAAAAGGAGCACAACTTCATCATGGAAAGTACATTTTGTACCTCAACTCTAGAAATCACCTTAAATTACAACATCTTGGGTCACCGGTAATTAGTGATACTGTATCTGTACAGATTCTACAAATATATATACAAGCACACACGAGCACCGATATGCAAATGTATACATGTATACACATATATAATATATATTCACATATATACAGGCACATGTATAACTTACATATATTCAAATTTGTTCCATCTGGAGCCAAAGAAATGAGTACTAAATCTCTAAAACAAGGAGTCAAGGAGGTAAGACCTTTTGAGTCCCTTGAAGCTGAAGAATTACAAGGAAGCTTATCAACGCGAGGTGGCGCCCTTGATCTACTAATCCAGCCGAGGCCAATTCATGAGCTGTCAAAAGTCAAGGTCACAAATTGTCTTTTTTCGTCAAGGTCAAGGTTTAAGGCCTTTCCTAGTCCTGTCATTTCAACAAATATCAAAACCTGCCCTTTCAGACACATGCAGACCCAACACCAGATTTTAAAATACTACAGCCTGGGCATCACTGATACTCAACAACTGGTTTTCATTTTCCACAGTGAGCCTGGAAATTTCTACTCTCTCTTCCTCCTTTCTTCTTTCTCCTTTTCAGAAAGCTTAACACTTTAACTCTCCTGAAGCACTTATCCAAATTTTTAGGATTTTAGTTATGAGGGATTTCTCTTTTTGCTTAAAAAATTTGTAGTGGAAAAAAAAAAAAGGCTGAATAGTAACAGAAAAAAATGGTCCTTGGTTTGTATAGGACAAACCCCGCTCCTTTTCTTTCTGCGCAGTGCACGTTTAGCTTGGAAAATAACGAGTATTTCCTTCAGATTTTAATGGCAGTGACTATTTAATTACCATAATTAATACTTCTATATCACTATCTACAGGTCTAAGGTTCTTTTTCATTATTATTTTTAGTAGAAATGTTTGAAAAGCAGGTGCACAAATACATTTTCACAGTGTGCTGAATGTCTTTATTTACAAGATAGCATTTTATAGTGAATGTGAACAAAATGAATGTGCTGGTTGAAATAACTGCTTGATTAAAAATGTGCTGTAAAGATGAATCCCTAAACTTCCTAATGTAGTCTTATAACACAATAAACAAGGAAAAAATACTAATCCCTTAATAGTTCAAAATATAGAATGTAAACATCTAAATGTTTCAGGGGAATGGATTTCCGTTCTGAGTTTTCTAAAAAATAAAAAAAGCAAAATTACTCTCCAGCAAAACGTTTAGTAAATATTTGGAAATACCAATTTAAATGAAACATGAATTCTCTTCAAACCAAGGTTCACCATGTCGGGGCGGACCTCTCAGGAGATTTGATAAAGTGAATTCTATGAAACATTTGAGGCTTTAAATATTTTTTAAAGTTATTAAATTCTTTGGAAAACAAATTCTGTCAAGCAGAAAATATAATCCAAATGCCACAAAATATGGCTGTTCTAAGTAATTTAAAGTTATTGTCAGAAGGGCATTCCCAACCTGGGGTTTCCTTGTAGCCTCAAAGGCTCAGCTGGTTGTATTTACTACCAAGACAAATGATCCTCAGAAAAGCCTTCTCTCCCTTTTTTCATTGTAAATAGCCCAAGATCATTATTGCAGTACCTTCTTCTCTCTCCCCTTCTAAATCTATACATAAGATGTTTTGCAGAATATACAACGATGGTAGGAATTTCACTAAGATTTACCTGAGCAGTCACTTAACATGCAAAGGGGATGGCAATGGCGACCCAAGGACAAACAGATGTTTACAACAGCCTCTTGCTTTTGTAACCAGCTTTTGGATTATTACCATATAACACAGTATCTTGAAATATTATGGTCACATAAATACTTACAAGATTTCAGTAAATGCGTAACTTATCTGAAATTGCATATTTGGGGGCTGACATTTGACTCTAGAGTTTGTCATTTAACGGTCTGGTGGGGTTGGCGGGAGAACTGGAAGTCTTTACCTTTTCTTAGAGCAAAGTTTTAAAAGAGTTGTAGATTCCACCAAGGAGAAAGAGATCCCCCTTAGGAAAGCAAAATGCCAGTGTCTTTCTCTTTCTCTTTCCCATTCTTGAATTATTATTATTAAGAATTACGTTCATTATCTGGGCAAAGCAACCAGTTCTGAAGCATTTCTTCAAGTTGCCCTCTTGCTCCACTTTTAATCCATTAACTAGTGGTCTTCAGTTTGTTGATGACTTTTTTCTCTTTGACTCTCCGGTTCTGGAACCAGATTGTAACCTGCCGCTCAGAGAGATTTGTTGTGGCTGATATCCGCCTCCGTTTGTCCTTGGTAATGAATTTGTTTGTAGCATATTCCCGTTCCAGTTCTTTTAATTGCACCTTGGTGTAGGGGACGCGCTTCTTTCTCCCCCGCCTGTAGGAGCTGGCATCTGAGGGATGAGAGACCACGTCTGGAAGATAGGGAAGAAGGCAAGTTACATAGGGATCACACCCAGGCCAGGACACAGGCGACAGCTCAATCTGAGCCACCCCCCTTGCGGCGCTCAGCTGCCCTTTGCCATGCATTGCACAATGCAGCCTTCTACTACAACCTGGAGGGTCGGTGGGGAGGGTGGTTAGTTCTGCACTGAAATGAAATCGCCTAGGACTCCAATGACCACCTCAACCGAGCCATCCTGTCCGCACAGCGCTCTGGGTTCCCTTGATCGCCTGGCCCAGCGGCCCACACCTTAGCGCCAGGGGACAACACTTCTATGCCTGACTCCTCTCTGTACACCCCAAGCCCCAACACTTGATGCTTCTACAGTGAAGCCATTTCGAGAGAACGATTACGGGCAATTTGGGAAACAGTTTCCAGGTCAATTTTCCATCCTTAAGTCGATGTCAAGGGCTGGGGAGGGCGGGGCGCAGAGAGAAAAGGGAGCCCGCCAGGGTCCCACAAGCTTCTTCCCGTCCCTCACCCAGGGAGAGCCAGGAGCCAGCCCAACTCAAGGGCAGGCCGGGCCGCGCCAGCCAGCCAGGGTCGGGCGCCCAGGGGTACAGCACCCCCAGGACAGGCCGGGATAGGGGAGAGCAGAGGGGCAGGAGGGTGACTCGGGAGCGAGCGGCAGAGAAGCTGGAGCAGAGCCGGAGGACCGGGGTTGAGAAGGGGGCGCCATTTACCGGGCAGAGTGGACTTCCAGAGATGGGGAGGCTGCGCCTGCTCTTTGGGGCAGTACATTTGGCCGTTCCAGCCGTTGGGCAGCGCCCAGGGCTGGTAGCTTTCCATGGGAAGACCCAGGGGCTCGTGGCGCGACTCGCCGGGGCCCCCCAGGCCGGGCACCACCGGCATATCCAGGTAGCCAGGCACGGGCTGATGGTGGTGGTAAGGCCCGGGCGCGTAGCCTTGGTGGTAGAAGGCGAACTCCTTAGCGCGGGAGCTGAACTCATCCGCCGCGGGGCCGGCGGTATCCATGTATTTGTCAGCGAAGGCGGCCGCAGCGGCGGCGGCCGAGGCGGGCTGCGCGCACGACTTGATGGCGTTGGGGTGCGGGCCCATGCGGGCGCACGGGTAGTAGCCGCTGCCGAAATAGCCGTAGGGCAGCGCCGCGGGCCCCGACGAGCTCTGCGCCGCCGCCGAGCAGGGACTGCACTGCTTGGCGGCCTCGGCGCCCGCTGGGCCCGCGGGGCCGGGCCCTCCCGAGGACGACGCAGCCGCGGCGGCGGCGGCGGCGGCAGCGGCGGCAGCGGCAGCGGCGGCGGCCGACGGGGGCGCCTCCCCGGCCGCGGGCTCAGCGGACGCCGAGGCCGCCAAGCAGTGCAGTCCCTGCTCGGCGGCGGCGCAGCGGTCGTCGGGGCC